GGGGTGACAGTGATGACCAGGGGTGACAGTGATGATCAGGGGGTAGCAGGACCTCCAGGGTGACAGTGATGACCAAGGGACAGAAGGACCTCCAGGGTGACAGCGATGACCAGGGGGTGAGAGTGATGATTAGGGGGTAGCAGGACCTCCAGGGTGACAGTGATGACCAGGGGACAGTAGGACCTCCAGGGCGACAGTGATGACCAAGGGGTGACAGTGACAACCAGGGAGCAGCAGGACCTCCAGGGTGACAGTGCCGACCAGCAGCGACAGTGAGGAGGAGTTTCTGGAAACTGCAGCGGGTGGGGGCTGCACGCAGGCCCCCAAGGGCAGGCTGGGCGGAGACACTGCACTGTCCCTGGCGGGGCCTCCGCTGTCACAGGGTCGACTCCTGGACATACCCATCGTCAGCCCCAGGGGCTCGGCAAGGCCCCGCCCCCAGACCCCGCCCACGTCTCCACCCAGTGGGCTCCTCCCACCATTAAACACCATCCATAGGCCCCGCCCCCAGAGTGCCCGCCCCCGCATCTACATCCAATGAGCTCCTCCCTCCAGAGTCACGCCCCTGCCTCTCCACCCAATGAGCTCCTCCCACCATTAAGCCCCGCCCCGAGTGTCCCCTCAAAGTCCCCGCCCCGTATTTTCATCCAATGAGCTCCCCCCCCAGAATATCCGCCCCCGTCACCACCCAATGAGTTTCTCCCTTTGGAGTCCCGCCCCCGAAAGCCCCGCCGCCGGCGGCCCAGACCGGTCACCTTTAGTCATCTGCGGCTTGCCCGGGCCCCACTTGACCTCAGGGTGCACCAAGCACACGCGCTGGGTTCCCGTGGGCAGCAGCAGGTCCCTCCTCAGCAGCTCCTCCTCCTCCTCCTCCTCGTCCTCCTCCTCCTCGTCCGAATCTCCTGGCTCCTCCTCGTCCTCTCCCGCTTGGCGTACCCGGCCGTGCGCCCGTGGGCCCCGCCCTCCGCTCGCCGGCCCCTCCGAGCTTCCGGGGCCCCGGCGGCCGAAGGAGGCGAGCGCGCGCGCGGGGCATGGCAGCGGCGGCGTGACCCTCGGAGCGGGGCAGCCGCGGCTCAGCCGGGGGAGCCAGAGTCCCGGGCGTACGGCGGCCCGCAGGGCCCACATGTCGCATCCGCCCGGAAGGCGATGGGGCGGGCCTTCGGCACCGCGCAGCCAGGGCGGACTCCCCATTGGCCGCATTGTATCACGTGTTTGAAATCTTTACGTCCCCATTGGCCACCTTGCATCACGTGCTTGTGGTCCGCACGTCCCCATTGGCCAAATTGCATCACGTGTTTGAGACGCACGCGCGCCAGGGGCGGGGAGATTGAACCGGTAGCCTGAGCCAGGACCGCGTCGCTGGGATCGCGTCATCAGAAAGCGCTTCGCTCGGGGCGGGGCAGGTTCCGGATGGAGGGGCGGGCCGGGGCGGATCTGCGCCAGGCAGAGCGGCGAGCGGCGCCTCCTCTCGCCCGCGCCGGCCGTGGGGTCCCAGCCCGGTCCCCGGGGTCCCCGAGTCTGCCGTGGGGACTCGAGCCCGGCCCTAGGAGGTCCGCGATCTGCCGCGGGGCCTCGAGTCCGGGCCCCCGAGGTCCCCGAGTCTGCTTTGGGGGATTGAGTCTGGCTCTAGGGGGACCCCAAGTCTGCTGTCGGGGCTCGAGTCCGGACCCCCGGGTCCCGAGTCTGCCTTGGGGGCTCGAGTCCGGCTCTAGGGGGACCCCAAGTCTGCTTTCGGGGATCGAGTCCGGCCCCCCGGGTCCCGAGTCTGCCTTGGGGGCTCGAGTCCGGCACCCCGGGTCCTGAGTCTAGCTTGGCGGCTCGAGTCCAGCCCCAGGGGGTCCCCGAGTCTGCCTTGGGGACTCGAGCTGGGTCTCGGGGGTCCCAAGTCCAGCCCCGGCTCCCTTGACGGGCAGGTGGGAGTCCACGTGGCGCTCACCTGGTCCTGCGGAAAATCCCCAAAGGACTGGGTTAGGCTTAAAGAATTTGCCCGCCCCAAACTTCCATCGTAACCTATAAAACCCGCCTGTCCCCTTCCTAGGGGTGTATCAGGCACGTGGCCCTTGCCAGACCCTAGGGAGATAAGGGGACGGAATGCAAGAGAGGAACTTAATTTCCTTGTCGCTCTTGGTTGTTTGAAAAGAATTTATTTACTGCCCCCCAGAAAAACCCTCTGTAAAACCCAAGGCTCTTCCCTTTTCAGCCTCCGCCCATCTGCACCCAGATGTTCAAAACAAACAGCATTTTGCTACACGTGAGGCTTCAGGTGTCTCCCTCTTGGCTCCGGACCTAGCAGACCCCTCTCCCCAGACTCGCCGTGCTGTGCTCTGGGCAGGTGTGCATAGGGTCCTGGCATCCCACCTCCATTGGGAGCTTTTGTTGTGTTTTACAGGAAAAGGGTTTAGGTTGAAACGTTGCTGTTTTAAGTGTCCAGAAAGCCGTGTCCTCTGTGCTATTTCAAGAGTTGATGTTAGGCCGGGCGCGGTGGCTCACGCCTGTAATCCTAGCTCTCTGGGAGGCCGAGGTGGGCGGATTGTTTGAGCTCAGGAGTTCGAAACCAGCCTGAGC